ATATTTATTAAATACACCAACCATCTATACAAAAAGTTTTAATAAAGAAAAAAAAAAAAAAAAAAAAAAAAAAAAAAGATGTAATGTAAAAAAAAAAAAAAAAAAAAAAAAATATATATCGGTACGTACGTACGTATTACAATGACGCACTCTTGTCGCACAAAACTAATCTGGTTTTACTCGCATCAGCATATCAAAGATTATCATATTTGTACTTCACATTTTTAGTAGCGATGTTATTTCACGAACGCTTCGTCTTAAACCTTGCAACGCTTAAAAAAACTATTACACCAAATCATAAAATACTTATTCGTAATTTTATAACTTTAAATACTTATAAAAGATATTCATTGTCGTTTGTGCCGAATTTAAGGTTTTATGCTGGTAAACCGGGTATGTAATTAATTTATTCTGCCGGATTTCATACTCTTGCTACTAAAAATTACATACATTGATAAAGAATATTTTTAGGCGGTATATGGATTAATCCGGGGCAGGGTTCGTCACCGAAAAATCTTTCACTCGAAGAATTCGGCTACGACCTGACTAAACTTGCAGCGGAAGGAAAACTTGATCCTGTGATTGGGCGTGAGGAAGAAATCAGGCGCACTATACAAGGTTAGTTTCGATATAATCGTAGTAATAATGCATTTAGATCGGAAATACTTACTAAAATGCTTTTTCGAAATTACTAACTAGTGTAAGTATCTACGACTATTTTATTTAAGTCATTCATTTTATTTATAATGATTTTTTCTTGTCATTTATCAGATTATCGCGACGCACAAAAAACAATCCCGTTCTAATTGGTGAAGCTGGTGTTGGAAAGACAGCAATTGCTGAGGGGTTGGCTCAAAGAATTGTTAAAGGCGAAGTCCCAGAAAGTATTAAAGATAAAAAGGTGATAGCTTTGGACCTAGGATCGCTCATTGCAGGTTCAAAGTATAGAGGAGAATTTGAAGAACGACTTAAGACCGTATTACGTGAAGTTCAGGAAGCTGAAGGAAAATTTATTTTGTTCATTGACGAATTGCATAATCTGCTTGGATTGGGAAGGTCAGAAGGATCAATAGATGCCGGAAATTTACTTAAACCTGCTTTGGCTAAGGGTATATTAAGATGCTGTGGTGCTACAACGATCGATGAATATCGGAAGTATATCGAAAAGGATCCTGCGTTGGCCAGGAGATTTCAATCAGTGATGATCGTCGAACCGAGTGTCGAAGAAACAATAACTATTTTACGAGGTCTTAAAGAAAAATACGAAATACATCACGGAGTTCGGATTTCGGACTCAGCACTTGTTGCTGCTGCTACGTATTCTCATCGATATATTACGGATAGATTTCTTCCAGATAAAGCTATAGATCTTGTTGACGAAGCATGCTCAAAGCTTCGTTTACAGCAAGAAAGCAAACCTGAAGCAATTGACAATCTTGATAGACAAATAATAATTCTGCGAATTGAATTAGAATCATTGAAGAAGGAAACAGACACGGCTTCTCAGGAACGTCGAATGAAATTGCAGAAAGAATTAGATCAGAAGCAAAAAGAATTAGATAAACTCAGCATGATTTGGCAGGAAGAGCGAGCTAAACTCAAAGAAATTAAAAATATTAAATCCCAATTAGAGCAAGCTAAAATTGAGTTGGAATTAGCCCAGAGACAAGGTAATTTTACTCAAGCAAGCGAACTTCGCTACGGAATTATTCCAGAATTAGAGAAGAAACTTCCTCATGATGTTGAGGAAGAAAGTTCAGAATCTCTTATCCACGAAAGAGTCATTGCAGATGATATTGGAGTCATTGTTTCTCGGATGACTGGCATTCCAATTCATAACTTACTTAGAAGCGAAAGGGATAAGTTATTACATATGGAAGAAAATCTTTCGCGACGCGTTGTAGGACAAGATGAGGCTATTCGAGCTGTATCAGAAGCAGTCAGGCTGAGTCGTGCTGGATTACAAAGCCCTTCGCGACCGATCGCTTCATTTTTGTTCCTCGGTCCCACAGGAGTAGGAAAGACCGAGCTTTGTAAAGCTATCGCAGAGTTTTTGTTTGATACGGAATCATCTATTATTCGTGTAGATATGAGTGAATATATGGAAAAGTAAATATGTCTAATCCACATTAAAATACAGAAAATAAAAATGTGGGTATTGATAAATACATAAATATTTAGGTTTGCAGTATCACGTTTGGTTGGTGCACCACCTGGTTATGTTGGATATGAAGAAGGTATATATACTGACATATTAAAAATAAAACAAGTTAATATTTATATCAAGATGTTTACTCAATATTGCCAATATTTAATAGGAGGTGAACTCACAGAGGCAGTTCGACGTAAGCCATTTTCAGTTGTTCTTTTGGATGAAATGGAAAAGGCTCATAGAGGTAAATCAATAATTCATTTCATTAGATAAATTAACTAATTAGCTGCTACTAAGTCCTGAAATTTTATAATGTATGAATAAATAGACGTATCCAACTTGTTATTACAGATCTTGGATGACGGACATGTCACTGACTCGCAGGGTCGGAAGGTAATAAAATATTTTTGTGGCAAACACTATTATCTGTGAATTATTAATTTATATTTACAGTATTATAATTATGCAATC